CATACATACATACATACATACATACATACATACACACACACACACACACACACACACACACACACACATTTTATTTTCAGGCATGAGATATAAAAATGTCTTTCATATAGATTTTTAAATACAAACTGCTCCATCATAATTAAATTCAGTAAATATTTCTTGAATGTATATTTCTCCAAGCAGAATCTGTTTTCATGGTACTTCACCTTTAATTTCCTCTGAGGTACAGCATCCCAGTCTATAGACCTGAACCATCGGTGTCTCTTTATATCATCAGCTCCATTCTTTGGAAAAACAAAAGTTTATTTAATACAAGTTCCTAAAAAAATATTGTGGCATAAAGTCTATATACTGAAATGGACACTGAAAACATATGTCTAATGCATACTGTTCTAGTTCACCAATTTATCTCATACTTGAAAAAAAAAAACTGGATTTCCAGGAACGTCTGTACAGTATAAATATCAACATTATCAAGATGGAAAATAGAATGCTGTGATGCAAGTACCCCACCTGCTTTGTATACTCATCAACACTGCAAAAGGAACAGGGCTTGCTTCACAATATGTTATCTACTATCTTGCCAATTTTCATCCTTTTTTTATCAGATCTCATGGATCTCAAATAAAACAGGCCCTTTGACACTGACTACATTCCAATTATAGGTGTCACTGTTACAGCTAACGTGCTATCATACATAGAGAATACAGCTCTTCCTTCATCTATCTATCCCAATTCTGTATTTAGAAAACGTTTCTATGTTAGATTTCACAATTAATTCACTATTTCATATAAATCACATTAGGTGACTTTATCTACTTGAGTTTTTCTTGGATCCAGAACCAAATTTACTGGATGAAAAAAAAACTACAGTGGGACATAACCTCTGTTACAAGTTTATATGTTCTCTAATGTATTTAGGTAAAGAAATGAGCTAATGTGACTTTAGTATTGCTTATACAAAGGGGATTTGCAAGCTTCAGTGCTCAGTAAGCTTAGTAGATTCTACCAATCTATTACTATACTGCAATGGATGTCAATTAAGTTTGCAATTATTTAGTGCCATGTTTTATTAGTATTAATTACATTAAATATAAGAATCAAGGCTTAAGGCAAACGGCTTACATGGCTGAAAGCCACAGTATTAATACTAATATTTAAATTTAGCTCTTCTGATTGCCTAGGTAGCATACATTAAAAAATTACTTAAAGAAAAGAAGCGGGGTGGGGAGGAGAGTTTGACTAGAAATTCCATTCCAAGGTCACCACTGTAGCATGAAAATTTGAAAACTTATTTCAATTTTATATTTAAAGTGAAAAATCACATTGTTAGATGCTTGTCAAATACAAAACAGTAATTCATTGGTTCAGAGATTTGTAGTTTAAGTATAATGAAAACATGATCCTCCTCCCACACCGGTGTCCTCTTAATTTGAAATTTGTTTTTGAGTATAGAGATGTTTCCTAAATGAACTGAGGTAGTGAAAGATTCTTCATTAAAGCATACCTTCATGTTTCCTAGTCGTCTTGTTCTGTCAACCACAAGAAGCTTTTTAATAAGATCCCTGGACAAATAAGAAAAGATTTTTTTTAAAAAAAATAAAGTTTGTATGGTTAACTTTTCACTGAAGAAATTATACCTATAGAATGTTTCCAATACTGAGCTGACCAGCAATAACTTTGAGAAGGTAGGAGGAAATAAATCCAGCGATCTCTGGTAGAAACTTAAATTGAGTAAACCATATTTGAAGGATAATATGTCTTATAAACTATACAATCTGATTAAATTGATATTTAAAGCTCCAGAGACACATATATGTAGATGTATTAATTTATAATCTTTTTCCAGAGAAGACTTTCATTTTTGGTAAATCTTTGCTTATAAAGTTAAGCAAAAATATAAAAAGTTTGATGTTGCTTTCAGGATTTTTAAAAAAATCAGATTATATCAATTCTACCTTCAAATTTTCAGGATGTTTTTTTCCAAGTTCTGGATATTAACTGGAATTGTACAAATGTCCCCAGTGGCTTTTTATAGTTCCAAACAACTGCAAAGTTCTTAAGCAATTAAGCTAGTTTCTTACCATGTCTTTCACAGTTTAGGAAAACAAGTATAATCTTGAGAAAGCTTCTTAACTGAACGAACTCACATTTTGGTAGGGGCCCTTCAGTAAGGCAATCTTTATGCCCTTTTTATGCATGCAAAATTGTTCATCTAGAAGCCTCTGGAAACAGTATAAATAATTCTGCTTAAGATTTTTATTCCTAGTGAGAAATTTTCCCACAATTGGTAAAAAATAAGTCTTGGAATGCCTTTTAAAATTTGTACCTTGAACAATGTGCGCCAAAATGCCTTAAAATGCACAAAAATGTATTCCTGTTTAACAAGCTTCGGCTACAACTACTCCATAACTTGGATGACATGATCAAACACAAACGGACCTTTTTTTTTGTAATTCATTAGTCGTTATGAAAAATCCCTCCCCATTAAGCATGCAAATTCTAATATGAAAATAAAGCCTAATGAAAATCTGATTCTTCAATTAAAATGGAATATTTACAAGCTATCACTCTGAACTTGTTCCTCTGAACATTAACACCAATGCCTCAAATATGTACGCTTTTGTCCACCTTAGGTTTCCAAGTTTTAATTTAAGTTACTTTGTATCTGTATGCAATGGCTTCTTCACACATTGCTATGGGAATACTGCATAAATGAATTGCCTGCACTGATTCTCATTGTGAGACATAACTAGCAGCATACCACCTTCTTTTAAATGGTCGTGACATAATACCAGGTGAAACTATGAACTGATATTCAGCTCCATTTGAAAATGAGAGGGATTACACATAAGCTTTCGGACTTTTGATTAGGGGTGTGTAACTATGGCTCTTTTACAACCTGTGGACTTCAACTCTCAGAATTCCTGAGCTGGTTGGTTCCATGGTTGGTTCAAGAATTCTGGGAGTTGAAATCCACCCATTGTAAAGGTCAGTAGTTGTACTCCCCTGCTTTATATGGTAGGCTTCAACCTATTGTCAACTCTGAAGCGAACCTGACTGGAGCCATTTTGGAGGCTTCAAGGTTGCCAAAGTGTGAAGAAGGGATAGGGAGGGGAACATAATTAGATGGGGGTTTGTAGTCAAAACAAAATAGTTTCCTGTGGGAACTAAGGACATTCCAACAGGTGGCTGGAGAGAGGAGGAGTCCAGTTACCCTGCAACCAGCCAGCACCTTGATTGGACAATGTGACTGATTGTTTATGGAAAGGGAAAACTTTCATAGTTTAATCAGGTGAAAACCACTAGAACTTTCAGAGTCAGTTTTCATCAGCTTGTGCCAATATGATATCTCTAATAAAATTGTTCTTTGAGGAATTTGCCTGCCCCGGAGTTCTGCTTTCTACAGAGTTATTACTCGGAACCCTGACACCTATGTTTTCCATGAAACTTTAAATTCTCCCAGATATACTTTCCCAATTTGGTGTTTTCTACATATGTTGGGACTAGATTTTTCTGAATTCAATCAACAAGCCCCAAAGTCTCCCAACTGAAAATTCTGGTCATTAATGTTCAAAATCAACTATCTGGCTGAAAGCCAAAGGAAATCATTGTCAGAAATCACAAGAGCTGTAGTACATTTAGCACAAATTTGATGAGGGAAGCCAACTAATTTGTTTTGCCTAGCCAAAACTAGCATAGAAACAAGACAACTAGCTCTGGTGTCTTAAGATTTTAATTAAAATTTTAATTAAAGGGAACATATGATTGAAAAAAACCACCGTAATTTATCCAGGGCTTCTTGTTTTGTTTAGAACAGGAAAAATGTATACTCAGCTCTATAGAGCTTTATGCAGTGGACTTTTATAAATTATTTAGAAGGCTGATTTGCTTTTGAGTAAAAAAAATACACAAAGCATTTTTTCCCAAGTGTTAGAATTACTAACATTCTCCCAAAAACTTGGGATACATGCTTTGAGGCCTTCCAAGAAGATCATGTGCGAAGGAAGATGGCTGCCTGAGCTTGCTGCTCAGGCTGGAAGACAGAGAAAAATACCCGGTCTGTGCCTCCGCCGACCGCTCGACCTCTCAAACAGGAGAATTTGGGAGAGAGGAATCCAGAGCGTCCGGAGGGCTGCCTGCTGGAGAGACATTCTCGGGCGACTTGGGACGAGCCTTGGCGATGTCGGACAGTGTGGGACGGCCTTTGGGTGGCGTTCCCCCCCCCCCACGGATGGTGGTTTCTTAACCGACAGGCAACGTTTTTTGCTGGCGTGGAGCGAGAGAGGCAGCGTTTTCACCGGGGAGAACGGCGTTTTTATCTGGAGGGAGACTGGAGGGAGACTGCTTTGGTGGCCTGGATAATTTCTGGTGGTGAGCGACTGCTAGGCACACACCCCTCGCCGCACCCCCCCCTCGCCGCATGAACAACAGACAGTAACGGCGCCTTCCTTAACGAGGCCAGCTTACTGATTAAGAAAGTGAAATCTTGTCCAGGAACCAACGTTGTTTGGGGACGCTGCTGCCAGGTGTTGGGAGATTCCAAGGGAGGAGTTGTGAGGAATGGAAGACGGCTGCTCGAGCGAGATGCTGAGCTGTGTGTGAGAGGTGAAGAACGGAACTGAGAGGGACGGAGCCTCTAGAACTT